GAGAAGAGGGAGAAGGCGGAGGGAGAAGACAACAGAGTCGCTGGGGAGGACGAAGAGAGGAACGGTAATGTGAACGAGGGTTAGAATACTATGGAGTTGTGGGAAGCATGCGGACAAAGAGGGGGGTGCATTTTGTGAGCATGCAGGTATGCTTCAGTTGCGGTGCGGACAACCTGTTTAGTTTTAGATTGTTCATGCTAGGATGACTGTCTTATGTTGCATTCGGCCATCCCATCGCCCTGTGCTCTTAGAAGCACTTGCCAGCATCATCCTCTGTATGCCTGGGGAGAGATATAGATAGATAGATAGATAGATAGATAGATAGATAGAGAGAGAGAGAGAGAGAGAGAGAGAGAGAGAGAGAGAGAGAGAGAGAGAGAGNAGATAGAGAGAGAGAGAGAGAGAGAGAGAGAGAGAGAGAGAGAGAGAGAGAGAGAGAGAGAGAGAGAGAGAGAGAGAGAGAGAGAGAAAACCACTGCTCAGAATACCACCTATCGGCCGCGGCCGGGGACCGCAGCGTGCCTAACCACTTGTTCTTGTAAAAGTAGGTCAGGGAAGTGAAGACCCGGTAGCTCCAGCCTTGGCATGGATTGGCATACCGGTCGCCCAAGGCTCAGACTTCATAGTTGGCCCAAGTATAGGTGGTTAAGGGGTTGCATGTTGCTCCCTGCCGTAGTCGGTGGTAGTCGGGGAGTAGGGTGGGGCCGCCAACCGGTGGGCCAGCTACGCAAAGACGGGGCATTTTGTCGGTAGCTGTGCCTCCCATCTACTTCCCCCGCCCCCATCCAATAACAGCAGTGTTCATGACCAGCACTCTCCCACACACCACATACAACCCCCTCTCACACCCCACCACCCCCCGTGATGGCCTAAGATCCTACCAATACCGAACACGCGGAGCAAGCCAACCATTTTTTATTTTATTTATTTTTTTTAAACGCACCCCGGCCAATCTTAGTGGTGTTGGTAAGAGCAGACACTACTAACACCTGGGGAGAAGCTCCAATCTATTGGTGGGGAGCATCACCTGCTGGAAAACGGGTCCAGCGTCCCTTATACATTTGGAATTGAAATACATTAGAAACCGTATTCAAAAGGTCTTGCCAGCATTATTACCCTGGGAATCAGGGGATTGACTGAGCAAGATACTGGAAGGGGGGAGGAACCTCTTCACCCTGCAACCGGCGCCAGATATCCACTGCTACTTGCTAGCTCCCCCCTCTATACTCTCTTACTTAAGGCGTTGCAGTCAAGAAAGAGAAAATGCATGTATTTGATCGACGGAGCCAGCCTCCTCGGGGGGCTCCAGGCAGGGGTCCTTTATATGCTAGCAGAGGTGTGTAGAAAGTGTAGAGAAGACATCAGGTCAAGGTTTCTGTCAAGGAGAGGGTATGGGGCGGGAAAGAGTCTAGAAAATCCTTCGGGGGACGGAGTGAAAATGAGGGTTCAATGTTAGTCCAGTCATTGAAAATCAAGCGGTAATCCTTTATTTCTTCAAAATCTCTCCGTTCCTCTCTCTTGTCTCCACTCCATTTTACTTTTGCTATCCATCCTTCTCTCTCCCCGCCTACCCAGTCTGTGCGGAATGCTGTGATCCGTCTCCTGATGTCTCCTCGTTGTTTAAAATGGTCTAGCTGTTAATTTGTGTCTTGCCATCTTTGTGTGAGTTCGAAATGTATCTGCTGCCGAATCTGTTCGATGATTTCTGGCTGCTCTGCTCTCACTTTTTTCAGGGCAAGCACACATCGCTGCCACCAGAGTGCCCATATTACTGCTCTCCTTATGAGTCTGAACATATTTTCTGTGAAGGTCGAGGCAACTTCTGCCTGTGACCAGTGACCAGCCAGTATGGTTTGCTAGGACCAAGGCCACAAAATTGCGGATCCCATATTTCTCCAAATGCGGTCTCACCATTTCCATATGAATTGAGCGATTGGGCATTGCATGAAGATGTGTTTGATAGTTTCTGTTTTTTTGTTAAATGGAAAGAGGCTCTGGCATCTGAGGCACCACGAGAGCAGCAGACCCTTTTACTCTAAATTAGTGTGGTCAGTCAACCAATCATTTGTTGGTAAGCAGCGGTGGACAATTTGTCATTGTAAAGAAGTGATTTTCATAGGTTTGGCGTTTTGTGCTTAGAACCATTTAACTGAAGATAGTAGGGAGAGGTCCACGTTTAGGTGTCTAGCCCAGCGGTCAATCACTATGTCTCTAAGCCGTCTTTTGGGTCTAAACATTTTGTGGGCTAATTTGGCCGACAGCTGGTGCAGGCTAATACATCCCCCTTTTGGACCTTCCCTTCTTGGGGAGGGTTCCCATAACCAATCTGCTGGGTCCAGGGTCAAGTCCTGTATTAGTCTGAAGGGCTGGAACACCTTTCTCTGTCTTTTCTCTTCCAGAACTCTCACCCTGTACGCATAAGCTTTTTCCTTCCATTCGAAGGGGACTCTGCTGTCTTGAAGGACGTCTGCTCTGGTGATTGCATAGTGTTATACCAGAACATTGGGGCGAGACCATATGTATCAGTCCTATCCTTTGTGGAGGCTCCGTGCCTACTACCCAGTCACCTTCTTTTAGGGAGGGGCCTCATTTAAGAATTTGATACCATGCAAGGGGGATAGCCTCGATCAGGTTCTCAAGATGCTCCCCCAAATGGTGGCAGTAGCGTAGGGTTCCTCGCAACTGCTCCCCTGTTTTCCAATCCCTCTTGTCTGTGTCCCAAAGATCCCCCACCCTGAGCACCCCTCTCTTAACCCAACTTTTTCAAGGAGCGGAGGAGCTAATCATAACATAACCCCTCGAGTCTGTCACCCATCGGTTTCCAAACAACGATTGCCTATAGACTTCTTCCCAACGGTCTGGGTGGGTTCTATTAGGGAGCTGAAGTCTACGCCAAGTTTCCAGCAAGGATGACCAGAACTTGTCTAAAATTTGGCCACCTCCCTCCAGCCCCTACCTTCCTTGGGGGAGCTTACGTGGGATCACCCAGTATCAGTCCTCAAGCCATATCAGGGGGTGGGTGGTTTGGGGAGGCTCTGAGGCCAGTTGGGCCAAATGTTCCAAAGCCAAAGTGCACCAGGGACACAGGGGGACAAAGATGAGTTTCTTAATCCATCTTAGGCGTAGCGCTTAAACTTGCGTGGCTGGGTCAATTATTCCCAAGCCTCCTCCCACCTTAGGTTGGATAATTGAATCCCACGCCATACGGCTAATCATGTTATTCTGCTCACTGTCCCCTCTCCATAGGAAGGCTGCCGCCTTTCTCTTTATGCTTTTTAAGGCAGTTCTGCTTAGTGGCCACAGTAAGGATTTATACCATAAGGAGGCGAAGACCAAATTGTTGATAACAAGGGTGCGACCAAAGAGAGATGTGTGCCTGTTCCTCCAGTTATCCAGCTTTCTTTGTGCCGGAGTGTTGATCCATTCGTCGTTGGTCGAGGGGCGTCCTTTTGTGGTCATGGAAACTCCTAGAATTCTTACCGGGGCCTCTCATGGCCTCCATTTACTACTTGGTGACTCAGGGGGGCGTCCCCCTTGGTAGTGAATCCACCACCCTTGAGTTTTGCTCCCCCAATTGACTGTCATGTCGAAAACTTTAGCGAATTTTTCCATCATTAGCTGGATTTCCTTCATATTATTATGAGTGGCGTCAGCTAAGACTGTAAGATCGTCGGCAAAGAGGGAAGACACTGAAATTGTTTCCTCCGGGATGTGTGAAATTCGAATTCTGGTGATATTTTTGTTTGCCCGGAGGTTCGCGGCTAGTGCTTCCATGATAACTAGGAAGGGAAAAGGAGCGATCGGATCCCCCTGGCGGACTGAACGTTGAGCAAGCCAACCATCTCAGTTAGTTGGCACCAAGAGTGCCGTACTGACTTGGTGCTAGGCCGTCAGCGGGTATTGAACCCAGGACCTCCCTGAGTGGCACTTGCCTGCCTAACCAACTGACACCGCTTGCTCCGGCCTTTTTTTGGACCATTTCTCGATTTATGCATGTCATCCTTGCTTGCGCAGGGGCCATACTAAGCTTCTGATTCGACAGTACTTACGTCAAGTACTTTTTGCATTTTCACGGGATCCCACTTCTTTCTGCAGTCGCAGGGAGTGGCCGCCCCGTCGGAGGCCGTTTCGGAGGTTGGGTGTCGTGGCAGTTCGCGCGGATTCCATTCCACAATAAATTGTCTCTATTTGCAAGAGAGCCGAGCACGGTCTCTGCAGCTAAAAAGATGGCGAAGATTTTTTTTTTTTTTTTTTTTTTTCATGTCCTCTTCCAACGGGTCCGTCGCTCAAAGGCCGTCGCTGGACCAAACGGACTGTCTGTCTTTTCGGAGGAACCGCAGGCGCCCACATAAAAGCGGCGGTACTATCGTGAGAGCTCCTTTTTCGAGGGCACTGTCGGGTCCCGTTTTTGTATCACGACCCTAACGGTCCGGCCCCGACTTTCCAGGTTCTCTTAGGTTCTCTTAGGTTTGAAGTACGGTGGGATCAGCGCCTAATCTTCTTTCTCTGTATCGTTCCAATTTTAACGGATGTCCCGAAGGGTCGGCCAGTTTTTGCCGGTACCGCGCAGGTGGCCGGCGCCCGCGGCCGCGCGGGCAAAAGCCGCCCCCGTCGGCCCGCTGAAGATGCTTGATCGTGCCGCCCCCATCAGACAGACGCTGGATTGGAGTCTGGACTTGGCCCCATCTGCCCGACGCTGGATCGCGCCGCCCCCATCAGGCCATCGCTGGATTGGAGTCGGGACTTACTACGCGAGTCTACGGCTGGACTCGACTCTCTCCCGTACTGAGCGACGGTCGACTCTCGACTGGCTACGACGCTGGCTACGACGCTACACGTCACTCTCAACGTGCTAATTTTTTACGCTGGATGCCACGCTGGACTCTCGACTCTCCGGCTGCCGACTCCACTTCGCACGACTCGGACGTGTGTGTGTGTGTGTGTGTGTGATCGACTCTCGACTCTCGACTCGCGGCTCTGCGTTCTATGCTACGTTGGATTCTCGACTGGCGACTCGGACCATCTACTACCCTTTGCTGGACTCGGACGTGTGTGTGTGTGTGTGTGTGTGAGAGAGAGAGAGAGAGAGAGAGAGAGAGAGAGAGAGAGAGAGAGAGAGAGAGAGAGAGAGAGAGGAAGGACTCTCTACGGGCTACTTGGACTCTGGACTTGCGACACTAAAAACACACACCGGGCCACCATGAATAAAGGTGAGTTAACCCTCCACGTGTATGTGTGTGCATGTGCTGAGTTTTTCTTTTTTTTGTTGGTATTCTGCTTTTACTTTTTTGTTGATATTCTGCTTTTAATTTTTTAAATCGTGTTCTGTCGTTTCTTCGATCGACCCCAGTCGTGTCGTGTGACTGTCGAATAGGGCCTCGCTCCACGACTCTCGAAATGCGCAAAACGAGAGTGAATCTTCCGCTAGAACATGGAAAGATGCACCGCCATGATTTTTGTCTTTTGTGCATGTCGAGAGTAGCGGGGCGACCCCCATATTCTTCCTAGACTAGACTAGATGGCTATCAGTCCCGCCGGGGCTCGGTGCCTTCTTTGCTCTTACATACGCGTCGTTTCTGGTGGGCTTCTCGCAGGTGCTTAGTTTGCAGATGGGAGTCTCCCAACGCCCTTCCACCACACCAATTAGCCGACGTGACTTCGACACATTCGTGCCCTTGCCAGGGGGGATCGGATGGAAACCCACTCAGATGGATTAGTGGGGGAGTGTTCCAGTTGACGTCGCAATCCCGACCGCGGTGATGAAATGGGATAAGGGAGGGAACACGTGTCGTATCTGACGAGTCCTGGACGTGGGCCTTTGCGCGGGCGCGGGGTAAGTGAGAGAAGGAGAAAGGAGAGAGGACAATACCTGAATTGGAGGAGCAGGAGAGGAGGGGAAGCTGGCAGTCTGGCTGTGTAGGTGAAAGAGAAGGGGGGAGGAGGAGGGGGGGGGGKGGGSGKSKGGTKTTSAGGSGRKKGGGRGRRGGGGGGGGGGKGGGTGGCTTTGTGTGGAACATGCGGCACGATTTCAAAATTGAAGAAGAGTGCTGATCTTCTTCTCTCTTCTGTCCATTCGAGAAAATGATGCACATGACGTCGTCGTCGGCGATCTGTTCGTCGTCGATCAGCAGGCAGTCCTCGTTTGCAACATGCGGGGGGCAATCGGTAATCTCAGTACAAGCAGGGAGAGGTCGGCGTACGGGTGGTGTGAGCTCGGCGCGCTGTGAGGCGAAGAAGGAATGCCCTGTCGTCGCGTGGATATGGTCGAGCTGGAGGTTGGGCGCTCGAGTTGACGTCAGTCAATCCTTGGAGTCTCAATGGGAGAGGGTGGTGCAGGGGAGACGGGGTGGTGGAGGAGGAGGAGGAGGAGGCCGAGGCCTGGGTGAGCGGGGTCCCGAAGTGGGATCGGGGGGGATAGGCAGACAAAGGCGCAGCCTGAGCAGCGATTGCGGCCATGGCGGCGGCGGCGGCGGCGGCCTTCTACTGGAGATCCGCGGGATGGGAGGAGGGCCTAGGACCTTTCCCGGAGGAGTGACAAAGTGGCAGTGGAAGAGGATGCAGACAAAGAAGAAACGCAGCATAGAGTTAGCAAGGATAGGCCGGATGAAGAAGGAGGGCCAGCCGCCGCCATATCTATGGGATCCCACTCGGAAAGAGCGGGAAGACTTTTACAAGACCATGCGGTCGGGATCGCGACACAAGACGGCGATGCAGTGGCGACGGAGGGAAGATGGGGACGGGGTAGCTGACGTTGCGCAGGAGCAGCAGCAGCCGCCGGCGTTCAGAGGAGGAGGAAGAGGAGGAGGAGGAGGCCTAGATAGCATGGAAGAAGGGAACGGGCCGCTGGATCTTGGTGCTATGAAGGGTAATCTAAGGGATGGACGGGGGCAGGAGGTGGGGATAGGGAGATCAGGAGGAGAAGGGTGGCGGGGAGGAGGGGAAGAGAAGGCGGAGGGGGCTAGCCGAAGAGGCGCAGGCTATGGTGGTGGCCCGAGGGGAACGACCGGGCTGGAGAGATACCTCCAAGCGACAAAGGACAGTCGCCGCTACAGCAGGGGGGGGGGTGAGGAGGAGGAGGATGAGGAGGAGGACGAGGAGGAGGAGGAGGAGGAGGCTCGCTTTTACGACGACGGGGTGGAAGATATGAGACATGCGAGGGGAGGAAACAATGCGGGGAGTAGGATGTACACCCAAAGTGACGCGCGTGATCAGCGGTCAGGGTACCGCGCGGCATGGGGGCGCGGGCGCGGGCGCGGGGGTGGAAGGGGCAGTAGCGGCAGCAGCAGCAGCGTAAGGGGGGCTGGACGAAGTGGTGGGAGCAGCGCAAGAGGGGATGGTGCAGGGAGAAGTGGCAGCAGCGTAAGGTGGGGGGATGCAGACCGTGCAGGAAGTAGGGGCAGCAGCAGCGTAAGGGGGGGGGGTATGCGAACTGAGCAGCCTCCAGCATTGCCCACCAGGAGTCGGGATCCGAGGCAGTCGTCAAGCACCAGCGAGGTTGGTCGGAGAGACACGTGGCAGGGCTCGAGTGAAAGGAGGAGGGGAGGAAGAGATGGCGACGATTTCTTTGACATTTTCGCTGAAGATGAGAAAGAGAGCGAGGAGGAGGAGGAGGATGACGGTGAGGTGAACGAGTACGACGAAGGGGAATGGGGGGCTTCGCTGGCGGCGGCAGGGGTGCAAAGTGGACCCTCTGGGAATACCACGCGACGAGCAACAGCAGCAGCTCCGACGGCGCCCGTCCTCAAGGACCCATGGGAGCGGGAGGAGTACTGGCAACCCTACGGCGGGCCCAAGGCAGAGGTGTGGGCCCGATTGCAGGATCAGTACAACAAGGAGGTTCCAGAGGATATCAGGGAAATGCCAGATCCACTCCGAGCTGCGCGGATCAAGCACAAAGCCTTGAAAGTGCCGAAGCTTGTTCTCGTGTCCAGTAAAGGCGAGCTCGTGCCGTGGCTTCAGAAGGAGGAGAAGGTTGGACAAGCCAAGCAGAGCCGTCTAGTAGAGCAAGGAGAAGGAGAAAGTAGGGGGGAGGGCGTCAACGGGAAGGGGGGGGCTATTATTACAGCAGGGCGTGAGAGAAGTGGGAGGGGGGGGGTTGCGGTAGCAACAAGCGCGCGAACGAGGAGTGCAGAGGAGGAGGAGGAGGAGGAGGAGGAGGAGGAGTCGAGGGGTAGCAAGTACGCAACAAGCGAGCGGGGAGGCGGCGGTAGTAGTCTGCTGCTTCCATTTTCATCGCCGCCGCCAGAGCTGCGGGTACGTCAGAAGTCGGCGGCGGGAGAACCGGCGGCTGCTGCTGCGGAGGCTGCGCCGACCCCAGAGCACGTGCTGAGCGCGACAGGATTCCAATCATTCAAGCTGTCCGAACTGACCCTCAGGGCTTTGGCTGATCTGGGCTGCGAGAACGCCACGCTTTTGCAGGAGGAAACCATACCCCAGATGCTCAAGGGGAAGGACCTTCTCGTTGGCGGGAACGCGGGGGCGGGAAAGCGGCTGTCTTTTCTGATTCCGGCGGTGGAGGTGGCCGATAGGAGAGTGGAGGCGAAGAAGAAGAAATCGAGCGAAGAGGAGAAAGAGGAGAAGAAGGAAGGGAGCGGCGCTGCGTCTGCGTCCGCCGAGGAAGACGACAACAACAAAGACGTGATGGTGCTGATCATCACTCCCACGCGGGACTCAGTGCAGGCCATCTGGAGAATGGCCGCTGCGTTGACCGCTGACCACCCCAATGTCAGTCTGCAGACGATCATCGGGGGCTCGAGAGTCAACGGCGAGCAGAGCCGACTCCTTCACGATCCCTGTAGGATCTTGATTGGTTCGGCCGGTCGCTTGCTGGACCATCTACAGAACACGATAGGATTCCCAGAGCGACTGTCGAAGTTGAAGCTGCTGGTCTTCGACGACACTGCGGAGTTGCTCCGCCTGGGCTTCCGCCCGCTCATGGAGAGTATCCTACGGTACCTGCCGACAAAAGGGAGGCAAACTTGTATCTTTGCCTCCACCTTGCCTCCGCAGCTGTACAGTCTGGTGCACAACACATTGCGCCCAGACCATGCAGTCGTGGAGACCGTGAACGCTGTCGTTCCAGACGATTCCCCGAGTGACGAGCAGGTTCCGCAGGAGTACATGATTGTTCCCGTCGAGTCCCATCTTGTTGTCCTGTACCAGATGTTAAGACTCCACATGGAGGAGGAGGGGGTGGAGAATTTCAAGGTTGTAGTTTTCTGCGTCTCGACCCCCGTGACCGTCATGACTACCGAGCTCATGCAAAGCCTTGGCCTTCCCGCCGTGGCTCTTCATCCGGGACTAGACCGCCCGGAGCGGATCAGGATCGCCAACGAGTTCCGCCTCGGGACCGGAACCGTTCTCATCACGTCTGACAACACTGCCAGGGGAGACTACCCTGGAGTGACCCTCGTTGTCCAGGTTGGGCTCCCGTTGAACAGGGATCAGTACCTTTTCAGGGTCCGAAGGTCTGACAAGAGCCAGGGCACCAGCATGCTGCTTCTGTACCCCTTCGAGAAGTTCTTCTTGGGGTACCTTCGGGATCTGCCCCTCGAGGAGTGCGAGGCCATGCCCATCGACCCCTTCAGCGAGGACAAGGTGACCAAATCCCTGAAAAAGGTGGACATCAATGCTCGCATGAGGGCCTATCAGGATTTCCTAGGGTATTACAAGAATCACAGCGACATAGTATGGGACAACAAGGAGCTAGTACACCATGCCAATGTGTTCAGTAAGGGTATCGGATTCGCGGAGCCTCCCGTGCTCTCCCTCCGAGTGGCCTTGGCATTAGGTCTGAGCAGAGTAGAAGGCTTGCGGGTAGCAGATATATTCTAAGGACAGGATTTCCTAGGGTATCACAAGAATCACAGCGACTTAGTGTGGGACAGCAAGGCCCGAGTACACCATGCAAATGTGTACAGTACGGGTATCGGCGGCGCGAGTACACCATGCAAATGTGTACAGTATGGGTATCGGATTCGCAGAGCCTCCCGTGCTCTCCCTCCGAGTGGCCTTGGCATTAGGTCTGAGCAGAGTAGAAGGCTTGCGGGTCGCAGATATATTCTAAGGACAGGATTTCCTAGGGTATCACAAGAATCACAGAGACTTAGTGTGGGACAGCAAGGCGCGAGTACACCATGCAAATGCGTACAGCAAGGGTATCGGATTCGCCGAGCCCCCCGTGCTCTCCCTCTGAGTGGCCTTGGCATTAGGTCTGAGCAAAGTCGAAGGCTTGTGGGTCGCAGATATATTCTAAGGACAAGAAACGCACAGCACACGTACACACAACTGGAAAACAGGAAACTTGTGTGTAAGCTGGCGTACTAGTAGTAGTAGCAGTAGTAGTAGTAGTAGTAGTAGTAGTAGTAGTAGTAGTGGTAGTAATGCTGCTGCTCTTGGATCGATCCTATCTATAGCACGGCTCTAGTACAAAAGAGTATGGTTTTCTCCGACGAAGAGAATCTCAGATAGCTGGAGAAAGGCTTCACTAGAGGTGGCTGTGTCTTGTCTATAGTATATAGTTAGACCGAGTGTCTATAGTTTTACCTTAGGGTTCCTTAGGAGGAGGGTTGTTTAGGCGTCCCCAAGTTCACAACAAAATTTAGACATGGTCAAAGTCTGCTGATGGGCAGATATGCATTTGGGTGAGTGCCAGACCGAAGGGACACGAAAGTCAGGAAAGGAGGACGGGGGGGGGGAGGGGAGAGGAAGCAGATATCTTCTTCAGAATTCCGTGAAAATTTTGTTTATTCATCGGTGGTCATTCTTCTTTCGGGATCTACTGTTAGTCAAAGTTTGTTTTCAAGAGAAAGAACAAGGTTTCTTCACTTCACTTTTTCCTTCTACTCCCCCTCCCCTCGTGGACACGTCTGCGGTGTGAAGGGGGAATTTTAGAAGGCCTGCTACACCAAATCTTTTGCCCCTAGCACCTGTTCACAATTGGAGAAGTTCGATCTAACCAAGTTTTGAACACATCACCTTCCTCCTCCTCCTCCTCCTCCTCCTCCTCCTCCTCCTCCTCCTCCTCTCCTTCTTGTTGCTACTGTCATCACAGCGGCCTCCTAACCTGCCCCCTAAAGTGCCCCCTAACGTGCCCCTAGCCTGCCTCCTAGCCTGCCCCCTAACGTGCCCCATAGCCTGCCTCCTAGCCTGCCTCCTACCTTCTTCCCCCCAATACAACGTACGGTCATTATAGCTGTATTTAGACTGAAAGATACCCCAAATTCAGTTATAATGACCATACGTTGTATTGGGGGGAAGACTGTAGCCTGCCTCCTAACCTGCCTCCTCACCTGACCTGCCTCCTACCTTCTTCCCCCGACTACAACGTACGGTCATTATAGCTGTATTTAGGCTGAAAGATACCCCAAATTCAGCTATAATGACCGTACGTTGTATTGGGGGAAGACTGTAGCCTGCCGCCTAACCTGCCTCCTGACCTGCCTCCTACCTTCTTCCCCCGAATACAACGTACGGTCATTATAGCTGTATTTAGACTGAAGGATACCCAAAATTCAGCTGTAATGACTGTACGTTGTATTTGGGGGAAGACTGTAACCTGCCTCCTCGCCTGCCTCGTACCCTGCCTCCTGACCATGTGCGTTGAGGGTTTGAAAGTCTGGCTTCCTCTCTACACTGTTGATGGCCAGTAAGGAATTCAGTTGGGGTGAAAAATGGGATGGTAAAATCAATGATAAAGGACCCAGAGTTGAGCGTTTGACTCCCTTTTGACTCATCGACAGGCAGCAGTTAACCCGGGGTAGGTTAAACCACCAGTACTTGGCCCAGCTATCGCCCGTGGAAAAAGAGTAGAAACGTTTCTACTTGGATGAATTTGGGCGCTCCTGTAGTGGCCCATACGTTTCCTAAAATCGTGGCTTGTATACGCGCATGGCCTGTATATGCGCATGGCCTGTATACGCGCACGACTTCAGGAAGTACTCGTGGTTCAAGTAAAATGAGTTTACATGCAAAGGGACGAAACATATGTGGCTCCACCAGGTTCAGCTGTGACCCGTCTCGAAATGAACCTGATGAGAGCAACCAGCAACCAGTCACCATCTGTTTTTTTTTTTGTTTTTTTTTGAAAAGCCTTAGCTGTCTACTATCCAGATGAGTGCCCGAGCCTAAAAGACTTGGAAGAGAGCTGCAATTATCACAACACAGGTTGTCAATAAATAAGTTGAACATCAACCTCCCCCCCCAAAAAAAAGAAAAAAGAAGTTGATCCATTCAGCCGAGAACTCGATAATAATGATATGTCCTTGATGCACTATGAAGATAGTGCAAGGCTAATTAAAGTGGTCTGTCAACGTAAAGGGAATGCATGTTGCCCCCCGATTATACCCCCCGCCCCCGCGTAATCGGTGGTGGTCAGGGAGTAGGGTGGGACGGGCGGTGGGGGGGTTGCAAGTAGTTGCACCTCTCGTCTACTTCCCCCGACCTCCGTCGAGTAGCAGCTGTGGCTATGGCCAACACTCTCCCACACACCGCACACAACCGACTCACGCTACACTCACGCTCACACCCGTGTTGGTCATAGACCCTACGATGAATACCGATCAGGGATATCACAGCCTGTTGGCACTAAGCGTGGCACTGGCGGTCATGGGGCTCGAACCCACAACCTCCTGAATGCCACATGCGTGCCGAAGCAAAGTGCGCTCTTTTAGTTCATAGATATGTGACAATTTATGTGTCGTCACACAGATGCAATCGCACTCGCTTTCACTTCCACTTCACATACATGCAAACAGATGGAGATTCACACTCAGGGCGCCCACTCAAAGCTTTTCGAGATATGGAAACCACGAACACAGTTCCGATGCAAGTTCACTTCAGCAAGCTATGGCACATCGGCGCCTGAACATCCCAACCTTCGTCACTGTGTTCGAACCCACTGTTCACACACGCTCACTCTGGATCACCCTGAATACTAAAAGGGCCTTTACGGATTAGACCCCAGATGAGTACCCCAACAGCAAGGGGCTCTGTCGGCCAGAACTAAATTGACGAGCAGCAACTCAAAAGACAAAGTTACTGCGGTAAATGTCGCATCCATAATGAAGTGAAAAGTCATTTTGAAAGGTCACAACAGGTCCTGAACGAACAGGTATTGGACACAATTTTCAAGACTGAGTTAGGGTCATGTCTCCTCGATGAAAAGACATGTCTGTTCGGCAACTAGTCAAAGGCCACAGTCCCAGTCCAGTCGTACCCACGAGTCAGTCCTGATTCAGACCAGGAGTCCAAGAGACGGGCCCGATGGCCCAAAGCAGCAGCAGACCGTGGGAAAAGATACTGGGACACACACTTTGCAACAATCGGTACTGGGCAGGAGTCCCAGACACATTTGAGGCTGAATGCAGGGCCACGCCAGACCAGTCCAGCACTGTAAAGGACTGGCCAGCCTCCCATTTGGACAGATGCTCACTTCGCATGAGAGTGTGGAAGTGCCGTGGCACTTGTGCGCTAGATGTGTGTGAGCTTCGCTAGGCTGAAGAGCAGCGCTATGTGGGAAGGAGGAAGAGAGTGCTGGCTAAAGGGAAGGCAGCGATAGCTGCGCCAACACGAGTTGGTATGTTAGTAGGGATAGTCAGTAGGAGATATCAGTGAGTAGTATTCAGAGTAGATCCTCATGTGATAGGGAGTGTGCATGCATGACGAGTGAGGGTAGACCAGGACTATAGACATAGATAGAGAGAGATAGAGATAGAGATAGATAGATAGATAGATAGATAGATAGATAGATAGATAGATAGAGATAGATAGATAGATAGATAGATAGATAGATAGAGAGAGAGAGAGAGAGAGAGAGAGAGAGAGAGAGAGAGA